TTTGTCCATACAATTCATCACAATATACACAAAAGTATTCTTTGGTTTCGTGCTGCGATTTTTGAATTCTTGCCACCTCAGTTTTTTGTTTTGAAACGGGTGTTTTTTTTGAAGTAACTTTAAGGATTTTCTTCTCTTGTCTTTTTCTTTTTCTCTCTTCTTTATCTTTGATCAACATTTCTTTTTCTTCATCTTTTTTTCTGTGGTATCGCTTTTTCTTGAAAATAATTTTGAATTTCAGAAAACCATTGCCTTAGGTTTTCTTCTGTTACTAAAGAACGTGCCTTGCTCAAATTTTGCGAAACTCTTTGTGCCAGTTCAGGATGCCTTTTCAAAAATGACTCATACCAATGACGACCGGGCCTAGAGTCTGTGAAATTATTAGACCTTTTTAGCTGTTTAACTAAAATTTGTACGCTGTCCAGCAATTGGTTTTTGGTCACTGGAAATCCAGCGTCGACAGATTTAAAAATCCAGTCAACGAGAAGTGCCTCTTCGTGTTTTGAAAGAACTGTTTCGGGGCCAATTTTTCTTTCCACTGGATATTTGCCAGTATGCTTATAAAGAAGAGTTGTACGAGGTACATTAAACATTTTGCTGGCCCTAAAAACAGGAATTCCATTTTTCACTGCCTCTAAAGCCTTTTCCACATCATTTTCGCTATATTGAAGCCGTTTTGCCATGATTTATACTGAAGGAAGAAAACGCATGTATTACTGACAGTCTTAGGTACCTATTATTGTCAGTGCTATTCTACACATGTGTTCTCAAAAACTATATAGAAAATTCACTGTCAGTATTTGGTACAAACATTTGGTCCATTACTTTGTTTTTAATTTTCATAATCATATTGGTAACATACTGTAGAATTTATAAAAAAAAACACTTAAAAAAAAATATATTATGACCCAAATACTGACATTTTTGTCAGTAACCAGGCATATGTGTAAAATAAATGTACCAATCACTGACACTACCAATTTCATTGAAAATTTAATTTCTAGTTTCATTTTATTGCAAAAATAGTAAATATTTAAAACAATGTTACTTACCAAATCACTCAAAAAGTCTCTACCATGTAAAACAACCGCGAAAAAAAAAACTTTTAAATGCCGCGGGTCTTACAGATGTAGTAAGGAATATTCAAGCATTTGAGAGCAACCAACAGCTTGTTAAGAAAATTGTCTGTCGATAATACAGTTTTTTCAGCAGAAATCTGTAATTATGTAGAAACTTGTAAGAAGATTTAGGGAAGATATATGTATTTTTAAAACGCCATCTAGACCTAAGATGTGATTATATTCGGAAAATTAAACTCATAACGCTCAGTCATTGGGTCACTGTCAGTGATTGGTACAGTTACCTTATAAGAAATTAACGACATTAACAATAATGCAGAGATGTTGAGATATGTGGTCGATGAAGTTACACGAAGGGCTCATTTATGCTTATAATAAAATGGGGAACATTTTCAGTAGTTAATAGGATTTAGTAATGTAAGTTCACATTTATTTTATTAAAAATCAGTGACTGCCATTTTTACATTTGTCATTGTTTTGACATTTACCATTTAATCACCGACATAGGTCCTAAATCCTTTCCAAGGATGACTCGACTACAAATTATCATCGAGTGTTCACTTGAAAAAGTCATCAATTTGGCCTTGATTTTTTCTAAACATTGTGAAATTTAATTGATGACAACTGATAGCACGGAATGGGACCACTTAACCTCACTTTTGTCTGTAATAAAATTAACGCTTTTGAAAAAGTCTGTCGAGTTTGTCCCAAACTGCATAACCTGTAGTGAAATTACCACTTTGTTTAGTGTGTAATAATGTGCAATTAACACATCGCAAGATTTCGGAATTGCATTTTTTAAGATCATGAGAGCCAGAACAATTAGGACTATTTTAATATTTATTGCTTCATACAAAAGCCAATCATCACAACCGACGATTACGTAACCATTTTTAATGATGGTATCTTTTCGTAAAGGTACCATATTATCAATTATTTCCAGCACGGGTCATCAATAAAGAAAAGAGCTAGGTACCTTTTTCGATGGGTAACATAATCAGAAAGATTTTCGGCAGTAATTTCAATTTTAAATCACTTATAACCACTATACAGCAACTATGAGATTCTCTATATGGGGTGATTTTGTAAATTGTTCATAAACCGGGGTTAAAGAAAGAATGAATGCAGTTTGAAGTGGTGATTCGAGAAACCTCTAGATAGCTATTTCGCTAGATACCTATCTCTTGACATTCTGTGTGAAAGATGTTAACAAATATCGCGTCCTTGGGAAAACACAAGTACAAACTCTCAGCAAGAAGAAATTCTAGTTGAGCTCACAATGGAAATAAGTAGTGTCGAGGACGAAAAAAGTGAAGATGAGATACAGTCAAAAGCATTTGTGTTGGAGAACCTATTCTCTACCAAACTATTTTAAACAAAGAAACATTGGAAGGAAATAGCCTTCTGTGAACTCACTTAGAAAATTTAGCAAAAACTTAGGAGTAGAAATAATATACCAAGTGGCACGTTTTTGTATCAACCTTTAGAGGTATTGTTTTTCCAAAACGAACTTGGGGTTAGGAATAGACAATTTGTCGTTACGCAAGAGTTACTCATTTAGCTGGAAACAAGTTATTTTCAACGAAATCTATCTGTTTGGCAGTTGCAAGGCCAAAGGCCAAAAGACAGAATGATTGAGTTTGTGAAATAAAAAGTTATCTGGTTAAAAATGAAAGTCCCCATAAAGAGAAGATTAACCCAGTAGGGAGTTAAAATCTAAAGTGAGTTTAGCACAGAATTTGTTAGGAAACCATGATACGTCGTTTTAACGACTTTGAGATGTATGTTTCTGAACTGCAGTACAAAAATTACCACGGTGACTTGTTTCAAAGATTATTAGATTATTATGAATAAAGAGGTTCCCCAACTTTTATCCGCGGATAAAAAGTAAAGGTAAGCGAAGAAAAATATTGCTGCCTCGGTGGGAATCAAACCACACGTCACCCGCTTGTCGGGCAGGTATCTTGACCACTAGACGACGAGGCCGCTTATTTTTCTCCGCATACCAACGTGTTATTGTGCCGCCACAAAAGTTACCTTCCTTTTTGTACGATTGCAAATTGACAAATTTGACATTTCCAATGAGTGTATTTATTTACATTGGAGTGAAGTTATTCAAGTTACTTATATTCCAATCACGATCTTTCTGAATCAGGACTGGCTGTGGTGTAGTTTTTGTTGGATGAACTGTTTTAAAGACAACTTCGAGTCTTTGTTGCTGGATCTTCTACTCGTCATTGGGTACATGAAATTAATTTGAAAAGTAACCCAATCAAAATTATCAGTGACAGTTCAAGATTTACCATTTTGCTCCTTTTCCTAATCTGAGACGATTCTGCATGCTCTAAGTGTGTTTCGTCGCTCAGAATCATCAAAAAATGTTGAAATATAGTTCAGATTTAATAAAAATCGACAAAAATACTGTTTCTAGCTAAAATTTGATGGTTTCGTTGCTCTTTCCGAGCCCGTAGAGTGTCTGATTGGCTTAAAACTACAAGAAAACGCTTCAAAAGTGACGTTTCTGAAGAATTGTAACAATTTTCTTGTATCTACGAACGCCAGAATGCATAAAACTGACCCAAACGTCTCCTTTTCATAATCTGAGACGATTCTGCATGCTCTAAGTGTGTTTCGTCGTTCAGAATCATCAAAAAATGTTGAAATATAGTTCAGATTTAATAAAAATCGACAAAAATACTGTTTCTAGCTAAAATTTGATGTTTTCGTTGCTCTTTCCGAGCCCGTAGTGTGTCTGATTGGCTTAAAACTACAAGAAAACGCTTCAAAAGTGACGTTTCTGAAGAATTTTAACAATTTTCTTGTATCTACGAACGCCAGAATGCATAAAATTGACCCAAACGTCTCCTTTTCCTAATCTGAGACGATTCTGCATGCTTTAAGTGTGTTTGGTGGCTCAGAACCATCAAAAAACGTTGAAATATAGTTCAAATTCAATAAAAATCGACAAAAATACAGTTTCTAGCTAAAATTTGATGGTTTCGTTGCTCTTTCCGAGCCCGTTGGGTGTCTGATTGGCTTAAAACTACAAGAAAACGCTTCAAAAGTGACGTTTCTGAAGAATTTTAACAATTTTCTTGTATCTACGAACGCCAGAATGTCGGGCTGTTTTTCGACGCGTTCCAAAATTTGTTCTCCAGCTTGCAGTATTCTTTCGGTCTTATCACGGCCATGATTGTGAGTTTGAGGTTTTAAGGTACTATGATGCTGTACCACTGATATAAATGTTTGCGAACACAGAACCACGCGATTTTGAAAACGCTCGATCCACAATTCCCGGCCAACCTGGCGTTTCCATTAGCCACACCATAAAGCATTACCATGTGGACACACTTGGAAAAATTCACTATTGCCAAAGACGTTAACCGAACATACGACGGCAACTAACTAATACAAAACTTGCCCTTATCGTGTATTTACAAGTTGCTTATCAGTGCGCCGCTTTTTTGGGTCTTAATATTAGTCGCTCTGTGCCATTCATTGAATAGTAGTTATGGTAGGTCAAGAAACCAGTGGCGTGTTTAACAATTTATATTTCATTTCAAATAGTTTTTTCCAGACATTGCTACCACTTAGTCACCAAGGAACGTGAAATGTACACACTGCAATTAATCTTATTGTGAGTCATTCTCCATTTTTTATCATCCTGTATATTAGCAATCAATTGTACCTTTGATCCTAAACAGAGTAATAATATGTTAAATAAATTAACAAAGGATACAAAGTCATTAAAAGCACCAACAAGAAATCTAACTTTGACAACATTTGTCACAATTAATTCATAACCTCAGTTTAAAAGCCCCATTTACATTAAAAAAAACCTGATCGTTAATGGAAAAATGAGAATTTCTCTAGAAATAGTTTACATTGGTAGTACTGGACGCGTTACCAAAGCCAACTCACCCTCGACAAAACCCCCAAATTCTTCGTCGGCACCAAATACGGCGACACCTTATGTGCTGCCTCCATCAAAGGATCCGTGAAGTTCCACAAGAACTGGTTAATGGTCACTTTGACGAACTGCTGCGGTTTAACCGACCTCGTCAGCAGATTATAGGCCAACTTGACGAACAAGCTCTGGTCGGCCAAGTACGACGCTATCCCCTACAACCCCACATTAATTCCACACACTCACTATTGACTTGCCTCACCAAAAGAGCCCAGTTGGGCACTATAATGGTCGCGTTTAAGTCTATGTTGTTCATTTCGGGCAGGAAAATGGCCTTGCGCGTCGCCACGTATGTCATGGTGCCATTTTCGTTGAAGGTTACGTTGGTGTGTGTCAATTTTTCCCTAAAAAGTAGTCGTTAGTGTGGTCAGGGCTGAGTTTGACACACTCACATGAACACGAGAGGTCCGATTTCGGCTAGGTTGAGTTTGGTGTCGGTGTTGTTTAGGAACTCTTCGGAATTGGTTACGTTGAAGATGTAAGTCTTGAAGAGGACTTCATCGGGGGGGTTTTTCCACCACTCGTAGGCGGGCAGGCCCGGAGTCATCCGCAGGCGTTCGCGCATGAGGATGTAGAACGGGGTCCAGATGAGACTGGAGATGCCCCAGAGGCAGAGGAAGGCGGAAGTGACGATGAAGCAGATGGGGGCTGAAATTGGAGGTTTATTTAATAAAAGAAACAAAAATTCCGGCGATTTTATTAACTGGTATCTCAGTGTGTAGTAAAAGCTTGGTTTAACGACAAATTGTTTTTTTTTCGAATGACTAAAGAAATGTCACACAATTAAATTGAGAGGAACATGTTAAGTTTGTCAAGTTGTTTTCACCTTTCAGTGCCTTGTCAAAATTGTAAATTTCATGTTTAGAATAAGAGAATCAATTTTTTTATTGCACAATTTTATTTTTCGGATGTTTTTTCAATTGATAGTGAAATTGCCATTTGTTCGTGTCAGAGTATTTTTGTCATATTTTTAAAACTATGAGTCATCTAATATTATCTAAATTCTTTGGAAATATTAAACGAATACCTCGGTTTAAGAATTTTAATAGATTTTTTATGGACATTGTCACATAGTTTGTTTTTCTGACAAAAAATTGATATTTTCTAGATTTTTTGATAAATTTGAAGTATTGTAACGCAATGACAAAAAATTTTGTTATAGGTATACGAGAAATTTCTGTTTTCGAAAATTCTGAATTCTTGTGAGAATGCAATGGTGAAATCTTATATCAAAATCTTAATTTACTGAAATTCATTCTCGTTGACAAAATATGAAATCTGAAAATCTAAATTCATTTCGTTAACCGTTTAAATCACACATTAAAATCTTAACTTGCTGAAATTGATGTGATTGATAAAATTTCATAATTTGAAAATTTTGGTTGATTTTGTTGAAGGTAGATCCAAAAATTGTATTTGGTAAAATTTTAAATTACGCATCAAAATCCCAATTTGCCCAAAACATTCGTTGACAAAATTCCGAAGTCTGAAAATCTTTGTTGATTAAATGTTGAAAGTAAATCTAAAATTTGCATTTTAGAGAATTCTAAATTTTCATGGGAATGAAATGTGTAAACTACAGTTGAAAATTTTAACTTGCTGAAATTTTCGTTGACAAAATTCCGAAATCTGAAAATTTTTGTTGATTGTTCAAATTAAATCTAAAATTTGTGTATTAGGAAATTCTAGATTCTCATAAGAATTAAATGTTTAAAATCACATATCAAAATCCTAATTTGCTGAAATATTCGTTGGCAAAATCATGATTCTGAAAATCGTGGTTGAGTTTGTTAAATTAAATCACACGACCCTAAAATCTTAATTTGTTGAAATTTTTATTGGCAAAATTCCGAAACCTGAAAATCTTTGTTGATTAAATGTTGAAAGTAAATCGAAAATTTCAGTTTCAGAAAATTCTAAATTCTCATGAAAATTAAATGTTTAAATTACATCTGAAAATCTTAACTTGCCGAAATTGTCGTTGACAAAATTCCGAATTATGAAAATCTCTGTAGATTAGATGTTCATAGTAAATCTAAAATTTATGTTTAAGAAATTTTAAGTTCTCATAAAAACTAAATTTTTAAATTCATGTCAAACTCTTAACTTGTTGAAATCGTGATTGGTAAAATTTCATAATTTGAAAATTTTGGTTGCTTTTGTTCAAGGTAGGTGCAAAAATTCTATTTTCTAAAATTAACAACTAAACATTAAATCTCACGTATTAAAATCCCAATTTGCCAAAATATTCGTTGAAAAAATCCTGAATCTGAAAATCTTCGCTAATTTTGCTGATTTTTTTTTTAATTTACTGAAATTTTGTTGACAAAATCCCGACGTCTGAAAATCCTTGTTGATTAAATGTTGAAAGTACATCTAAAATTTCTGTTTTATAGAATTCTAAATTACTATAAGAATTAAAGGTTAAATGACATGTCAAAATCCGAATTTGCTGAAATATTCGGTGACAAAATCCTGAATCTGAAAATCATGATTGATTTTGTTGAATTTAAATGTTAAAATCTTGATTTGTTGAGATTTTTGTTGACAAAATTCCGAAACCTGAAAATCTTTATTCAATAAATGTTGAAAGTAAATAAAAAATTTTCGTTTCAGAAAATCCTAAATTGTCATGAGAATTAAATGTTTAAATTACATTTGAAAGTTTTAATTGCTGAAATGTTCCTTGACAAAATTCCGAAATCTGAAAATTTTTGTTAATTGTTCAGAGTAAATCTAAAATTTATGTTTTAGAGAATTATAAATTTTTCTTGAGAATTAAATGTTTAAATTACATTTGAAAGTTTTAGCTTGCTGAAATTTTCCTTGACAAAATTCCGAAATCTGAAAATTTTTGTTAATTATTGTTCAAAGTAAATCTAAAATTACCGTTTTAGGAAATCCTAAATTCTCATGAGAATTAAATTTTTAAATTACATTTGTAAGTTTTAACTTACTGAAATTTTTGTAGACGAAATTCCGAAATCTGAAAATCTTTGTTGATTGTTCAAAATAAATCTAAAATTTGTGTATTAGGAAATTCAAAATTCTCATATGAATTAAATGTTTAAATCACATATCAAAATCTCAATTTTCTGAAATATTCGTTGACAAAATCCTGAATCTGAAACTCTTAATTGATTTTGTTGAATTTAAATCACGAAAACTTGATTTACTAAAATTTGAAATTTTTGTTGGCAAAATTCCGAAATCTGAAAATCTTTGTTGATTAAATCTTGACATGAATCTAACATTTCTGTATTAAAAAATTCTAAATTCTCATTAAAATTTGAAATGTTTAATTCACATGTCAAAATCGTAACTTACTGAAATTCTAGTTGATAAAATTTTATTATTTGAAAATCTTGGTTGATTTCGTGAAGGTAAATCCAAAAATTTCGTTTCAGAAAATCTCATGGGAATTAAATGTTTAAATTACATCTGAAAATCTTAACTCGCTGAAATTTCCGTTGACAAAATTCCGAAATATGAAAATCTTCGTTGATTGTTCAAAGTAAATCTAAAATTTGTGTATTTGAAATTCAAAATTCTCATATGCATTAAATGTTTAAATCACATATCAAAGTCTCAATTTGCTGAAATATTCGTTGACAAAATCCTGAATCTGAAACTCTTAATTGATTTTGTTGAATTTAAATCACGAAAACTTGGTTTACTGAAATTTGAAATTTTTGTTGACAAAATTCCGAAATCTGAAAATCTTTGTTGATTAAATGTTGAAAGTGAATATAAAATTTCTGTATTAAAAAATTCTAAATTCTCATTAAAATTTGAAATGTTTAATTCACATATCAAAATCTTAACTTACTGAAATTATAGTTGATAAAATTTTATTACTTGAAAATCTTGGTTGATTTCGTGAAGGTAAATCAAAAAATTCCGTTTTAGAAAATCTCATGGGAATTAAATGTTTAAATTACATCTGAAAATCTTAACTCGCTGAAATTTCCGTTGACAAAATTCCGAAATATGAAAATCTTCGTTGATTGTTCAAAGTAAATCTAAAATTTGTGTATTAGGAAATTCTAAATTCTTAACTTGCTGAAATTCTGATAGATACAATTTCATAGTTTGAAAATTTTGGTTGATTCTTTGAAGGTAAATCCAAAAATTCTATTTTTCAAAATTCTAAATTCTCGTGAGAACTAAATACATATTAAATCACATATCAATATTCCAATTTGCCGAAAATTTGTTGAAAAAACCCTGAATCTGAAAATCTTCGTTGATTTTGTGAATTTAAGTCACACCTTAAAATCTTAATTTACTGAAATTTTTGTAGACGAAATTCCAAAATCTGAAAACCTTTGTTGATACTTCAAAGTAAATCTGAAATTTCTGTTTTAGAAAATTCTAAACTCTTATAAGAATTAATTGTTTATTTCACATATCAAAATCCCAATTTGCTAAAATATTCGTTGACAAAATCCTGAATTTGAAAATTGTGGTTGATTTTGTTAAATTTAAATCTCTTAAAATCCTGACTTGTTGAAATTTTTATTGACAAAATTCTGAAGCTTGAAAATTCTTAGTTATTAAATGTTGAAAGTAAATATGAAATTTCCGTTTCAGAAAATTGTAAATTCTCAGGAGAATTAAATGTTTAAATTACATTTGAAAGTTGTAACTTGCCGAATTTTTCGTTGACGAAATTCCGAAATCTAAAAATCTTTGTTGAATAAATTGAAAGTAGATCTAAAATTTTTGTTTCCGATAATCTAAATTCTTGTGACAACTAAAGATCTCAATAAAAAAATCTTAACTGATTTTGCTGAATTTAATTCACGCTTAAAAAACTTGATTTGCTGAAATTTCTGTTTACACAGTTCTGAAATATGAAATCTTTGTTATTTAATAGTCAATCTAATATTTCTGTTTTAAAAAATCTTGGTTGATTTCGTGAAGGTAAATCGAAACAGTCCGTTTTCAAAAATTCTAAATTCTCGTGAGATAAAAATCTTGAAACTGAAAATCTTAGGTGATTTTGATGAAGGTAAATTTGAGATTTCTATTTTAGAAAATTCTAAACCCTCATAAGCATTAAATACTTAAGCAAAATCTTAATTTTGAGAAATTCCCTTGACAAAATTTTTAAATCTGAAAAAGATGAATGTCAAATTTGTTTTTCAAAAATTATAAATTCTCATTGAAACTAAATGTTTAGATAATATTTTAACTCTTGACTTGGTGAAGTTCTTTTTGAAAATATTTTATAATTTGAAAATTTGATGCAATTCTTATTAACAAAATTCTGAAGTCTGAAAAATCATAGTTGATTTTATTGAATTTAAATATAAAATTTCTGTTTTCAACAATTCTAAATTCTCATGAGAAACAAATGTTTAATTCACATATCAAAACAGTAACTTGCTGAAATTCGTATCTACAAAATTTTATAATTTGAAAAATTTGGTTTACTTCCTTGAACATAATTCCAAAAATTCGGTTTCCGAAAATTTAAAATTCTTATGAGAACTAAATACCGAATTACATATCAAAACCCCACTTTGTTTAAATATTCGTTTCTGTTTTCGAAAATTTTAATTTTTCGTAAAAGCTTAAATTCCGTCAAAAAAAATTCTCGCTAACAAAATTCTGGAATCTAAAAAATCATAGTTGATTTTATT